AAAAAGCACAAACTGGAAAACGTCTCTGTTCAAAACTTTTATTAGAACTGTTTAAGTAAGGTAGCGTGGAGGAGGAAAAGGAGGCAGCAATGATATGGGCAAGTGAACATGGGGATGAAAAGGAGGATGGGGTGCCGGAGTAAGAGGGGGATCTGGTTTCACAGTGTTAGCTGGAGTGGTTGGATATTGGGGATGGGAGGGATCGTAGGGTAAAGATGATAGTAAGGCATAGATGGGGGAAGCTGCGATAAGGTTTTTTTTAGCCTTTAGTTGTAGTAGTTTTTGGCTTCGTAGCTGGATAAAGAGGATTAAAGGGAGGATACATCGGCATATATTGTGGAAACGGCATCTGAGCGTATTGAGGCATCTGAGGCAGGACAGGAATTTTAGTCGCCTTTGCAGTTGTAGGCCGTGTGGTCGTTGCTGTTGTTGTCTCCAGCATCTTAGGGTATTGACGCATCAGATGGTATTGAGGCATCTGAGCGTATTGAGGCATCTGAGCGTATTGAGGCATCTGAGCGTATTGAGGCATCTGAGCGTATTGACGCATCAGAGGGTTTTGACGCATCAGAGGGTATTGACGCATCAGAGGGTACTGAGGCATCTGAGCGTATTGAGGCATCTGAGCGTATTGAGGCATCTGAGCGTATTGAGGCATCTGAGGGTATTGAGGCATCTGAGGGTATTGACGCATCAGAGGGTTTTGAGGCATCAGAGGGTGAGGCATCAGGGGTTTGGGTGAGGCATCAGAGGGTTTTGGGGGGTTTTGAGGCATCAGAGGGTTTGGGGGGGTTTTGAGGCATCAGAGGGTTTGGGGGGTTTTGAGGCATCAGAGGGTTTGGGGGGTTTTGAGGCATCAGAGGGTTTGAGGCATCTGGGGGTTTTGAGGCATCTGGGGGTTTTGAGGCATCTGGGGGTTTTGAGGCATCTGGGGGTTTTGAGGCATCTGGGGGTTTGAGGCATCTGGGGGTTTTGAGGCATTGGGGGTTTTGAGGCATCTGGGGGTTTTGAGGCATCTGGGGTTTGGAGGCATCTGGGTTTTGAGGCATCTGGGGGTTTTGAAGGCATCAGAGCGTATTGAGGCATCAGAGGCATTGCAGGGAATTTTAGGAATTTGAGTCGCCTTTGCAGTTGGGGGCCGTGTGGTCGTTGCCTCAGGCATCTTAGGGTTTTGAGGCATCGGAGGGTATTGAGGCATCGGAAGGTTTTGAGGCATCTCATGGTATTGAGGCATCTCATGGTATTGAGGCATCTGAGGGTTTCAGGCATCAGAGGGGTTTGAGGCATCAGAGGGGTTTGAGGCATCAGAGGGGTTTGAGGCATCAGAGGGGTTTGAGGCATCAGAGGGGTTTTGCAGGCATCAGAGGGGTTTGGAGGCATAGAGGGGTTTGAGCATCAGAGGGTTTGAGGCATCAGAGGGGTTTGAGGCATCAGAGGGGTTTGAGGCATCAGAGGGGTTTGAGGCATCAGAGGGGTTTGAGGCATCAGAGGGGTTTGAGGCATCAGAGGGGTTTGAGGCATCAGAGGGGTTTTGAGGCATCAGAGGGGTTTGAGGCATCAGAGGGGTTTGAGGCATCAGAGGGGTTTGAGGCATCAGAGGGGTTTGAGGCATCAGAGGGGTTTGAGGCATCAGAGGGGTTTGAGGCATCAGAGGGTTTGAGGCATCAGAGGGTTTTGAGGCATCTGGGGGTTTTGAGGCATCTGAGGGTTTTGAGGCATCTGAGGGTTTTGAGGCATCTGGGGGTTTTGAGGCATCTGGGGGTTTTGAGGCATCTGGGGGTTTTGAGGCATTTGAGCGTATTGAGGCATCAGAGGGTTCTGAGGGTTTTGAGGCATCTGAGGGTTTTGAGGCATCTGAGGGTTTTGAGGCATCTGAGGGTTTTGAGGCATCTGAGGGTTTTGAGGCATCTGGGGGTTTTGAGGCATCAGAGGCATCTGAGGGTTTTGAGGCATCTGGGGGTTTTGAGGCATCAGAGGGTTCTGAGGGTTTTGAGGCATCTGGGGGTTTTGAGGCATCTGGGGGGTTTTGAGGCATCTGGGGGTTTTGAGGCATCTGGGGGTTTTGAGGCATCTGGGGGTTTTGAGGCATCTGGGGGTTTTTGAGGCATCTGGGGGTTTTGAGGCATCTGGGGGTTTTGAGGCATCTGGGGGTTTTGAGGCATCTGGGGGTTTTGAGGCATCTGGGGGGTTTTGAGGCATTTGAGGGTTTTGAGGCATCAGAGCGTATTGAGGCATCAGAGGCAGTGCAGGAATTTTAGGAATTTGAGTCGCCTTTGCAGTTGTAGGCTGTGTGGTCGTTGCCTCAGGCATCTTAGGGTTTTGAGGCATCTGAGGGTTTTGAGGCATCTGAGGGTTTTGAGGCATCTGGGGGTTTTGAGGCATCTGGGGGTTTGAGGCATCTGGGGGTTTTGAGGCATCTGGGGGTTTTGAGGCATCTGGGGGTTTTGAGGCATCTGGGGGTTTTGAGGCATCAGAGGGTTTTGAGGCATCAGAGGGTTTTGAGGCATCAGAGGCATCTCAGGGTTTTGAGGCATCTCAGGGTTTTGAGGCATCTCAGGGTTTTGAGGCATCTGGGGGTTTTGAGGCATCTGGGGGTTTTGAGGCATCTGGGGGTTTTGAGGCATCTGGGGGTTTTGAGGCATCTGGGGGTTTTGAGGCATCTGGGGGTTTTGAGGCATCTGGGGGTTTTGAGGCATCTGGGGGTTTTGAGGCATCTGGGGGTTTGAGGCATCTGGGGGTTTTGAGGCATCTGGGGTTTTGAGGCATCTGGGGGTTTTGAGGCATCTGGGGGTTTTGAGGCATCTGGGGGTTTTGAGGCATCTGGGGGTTTTGAGGCATCTGGGGGGTTTTGAGGCATCTGGGGGTTTTGAGGCATCTGGGGGTTTTGAGGCATCTGAGGGTTTTGAGGCATCTGAGGGTTTTGAGGCATCTGAGGGTTTTGAGGCATCTGAGCTACAGTGGAATTTAGGGAAGTCGTTTTGGAAGCAGGAGGTGAGGCAGGAGGTGAGGCAGGAGGTGAGGCAGGAGGTGAGGCAGGAGGTGAGGCAGGAGGTGAGGCAGGTTTGGAACACCAGAGAGAGACTGGAATTCCTTGCCAACGCATCGGGAGTACATAACTTCCACCCTTTGGGAGAAAAACACACAATTAGAAACAGCAAGGAATCACACAAACCTGTCAATGTTACAATCTGACTGCACAAGGCAAACGATTAATCTCATGCTATATTTTCTAAATAGATCATCATGATGAAACATATTTAAATGTCGGTCCCCATCCAAAAAACATATTTAATCAGTACATTTGAAAGCAAGCGAAAAACAACTCGCATTTGAAAAGCTGAAAACACATTTTCGCTTGAGATCAATATGACGCAGATTAAAAATTTCATTTTTTTAGCTCTCGTTACACCATTCATAACTATAACAATTCACAGCACTAGCCATCATATTTTTAAACTCACTTCCTCACTCTTTAAATCAGTTTCACATTACCTCTTGAACCATGTTGCAGCCATCATAGGGAACCAACATGACAAGTGCATATGAGTTCCTCTGCATGCTGTAGCCACAGGTAGACGGGACCTGGGACAGAGGCATTGGAGGTGCATTTCCTGTGGGGTAAAAAGGTTCAGTGTTTATATCATTGGTAGAGATTAATCAAGTCTACATTTGGGATATTATGGCTATTAATTTACCTTGTTCTACCGCAAATTGTGAAATTCCTGATCCAACCACTCTGAACTTCAACTGGCCCGAACCACACTGCAGTGAGGGCGACATGCTCATCCATGACGAGTCTTTGGGACTGGCGACTTGTGTTGGGCTCATCCAGCCTGAAGGCAAATATAATATATATATATTTTTTTCTTTCAATAGTTTGTACTTTAAAGAGAAGCAAAACAATTCAAGCAAAATAACAAACCCTTCAATACGTAATCAAAAATATTTTTACCTGCAGAGTCTGCTTGATAATCACCTTCATCCTCCACATAAGCGTTTGAGGATGACTTCTTGGTCCCGTCTGTGACTTGAGAATCAAGTCCTGACCCTTTTTCAAAAGCTCTCCCGAAAACAATTGTCCCCTCTTGGAAGCCATTTGTTGTTTCGGCATCTTTTCTCCCTTCTCGTCTTTCTCTTTTCTTCAGACGATAACAATCTATAGTTTGCGCAAAATAACACGTCAGAATAACAGCTGCAGCCAGGTAAACACCGGCGCCTTTTCTCTTGCGTGTCATCCTGTTGCACATGACTGCTGGTAATGTGAAGAGATGAGATAACTTTCTTTGCCGCAACTATTTGAGCATCAGCAGGTGCTGTGACAACCAATACAGCTGTGATACTGTAGGTGCTCATAGGATTCCCATTCTTTAAAATCAAACTCACTGCGGGTGGAGAGCACTTGGCAATGAAGCATGAGACAGGGATTTTAATACTGGCACATATTACCACCAGGCAGCCAATCAACAAGGCAGGTGCAGCCTCAGCTAATGCTTGCACCTGTGTTCAATTAGCTTGCAACAGGTGGGCCTCGTTAAGACTTGTATAATGTCTACACAGTAAGCCCTGTATATTGATCATGTAGATCAGGGGTGCCCAATACGTCGATCGCAAAGGTAGTGTGGGTAGATCGCATGGCATTGAAGAGCAAATGCGGCGCACCTTTATGCGCTTAAGAGGCGCTATTGGTGTAAGCGCTCCACAGTTTCTCCGCCGCTGTGAGGTTCCGGCGCTCGCAGTTCACTAGCACCGTTGGTTTCAAAGGCATGCTATTATTACAAATCCAATCCAATCCACTTTATTTGTATAGCACATAATAAAAACAGAGGGTTTACCAAAGTGCTTCACACCAAACATAACATAATAAAATATAATATTACAATAATAGATAAAAGGCACACATAAGAAAATATAAAAGGATAAAAGGCACACATAAGAATTAATACACGGTACATAAAGGCTATGGACATACAATAAAAGCATAACAATCCATAAAACATAGCTCAGACTGACTCGAAAGCGAGGGAAAAGAGGTGGGTCTTTGGACGAGACTTAAAAGTTTGGAGGGTGGGCGACAATTTGACATGCGGGGGCAGGTCGTTCCAGAGCCTGAGGGCTACCGCTGAGAAGGCTCGATCTCCCCTGTTCTTTTTCTTGGTTTTAGGGACTACCAGCAGCAGCTGAAGCTAAATGAAGTCACAAGAATGATAGAGACATAACAATACAGTATTTATTTGGGCATGGCTACTATAATTGTTGATGGCCAAATATTTCATAGAAGTAACACAACTCTGCTCACATTTCAGGGTTTTTCTTTGACTTAAGAGGGAAAATATCCCTCAATATAAAATTGTTTTTACGATAAGCTTCTTAACAATTACTATCATGTTTACATAACAGTAGACTAGATACAACTCATATGATGTAATTAGGACACTTATAAAATAGAAAAACGTATTTACTATATTGCTCCAATACTTTAAATGTTAAAGGGTTGTGAGGATAAACAAGAACAGCAGTACATCCAAAGACAATGGAAAAAAAAACGTGGAAATATACCAAGAATGTCTACACATCCTCAATTGCTAACCTATTATATTTAAAAGATGTTCTCACCTCGAGTATTCTTAATATAAGACATTCCCCATTGTTATTTTCCCCGACTTGACAGGAAAGGGGAAAAAACGAGCAATTCATTATTTCCCCAGAATCTTTATTCACGAAGCGCTATACAAGTTGTATTCAAAAGTATACAAACAACTTTGCACAAGCTTGAGAATGCAAAGTCCATTAAGTCCTTTCAGAGTTCAAATAAAAACATATCCCGATTATTCATCATTTTGTGTAATGTATCATACGGTTTGATTTCGATAACAAACCAATGAATGCAAGGGAAGAGTCTGGCTATTTTGATTTGTTAATCTACTTTGACCCACAATAATTAGATGTATAACAATGCTTTCTCTTATTTAGAAGACAAAATATGTATCTTCACATCAAGGAAAGTCAATCAGACGGTAACGGGATGGTGAACATGCATCAGTGTCCCAGCCTGACTTGGACCAGAGATGTCGTTTTATGGTTAGTTCCATAATTTGAAAGAAACAATACACAGGTGTTAAGGACACTCTGTAGGATAAAAGGTTTTGCTTCTATCATTGTTGACATTTCACTTGAATAATTAAGGATCTCACCTGTCAAGTCATTTTTAGTTGTATGAAGGCTACTTTTACAATATAACATCTACATGTGTAGTTTGAACACTTATGACCTAGTGTTAGACCACATATTTGGTAATGCTTACTCCAGTTTACAAAACCAAAAAGAGAAAAATGCTGAAGGTTCATTGTTTTGATTTGCATAACTGCCCAAAGTTGTAAATGCTCCTTTTCAGAGTTGGTGTATGTAATGAGTGAAGCCAGCGTCCCTCACACAGCAGATGTTAATTATTTTAGGAAAGGATATGATGGAACTTTACCTTTGACTGAAATACATTTTCAAAAATACAACCCTTTTATAGCTTGTTCACAAAAGGAAAGCTAGTGTGAACACAAAAGGTTCCAATTCAAAACCTACTAAGAAATGGTTGAGCAATGATGCCACCATGTGGACACAAAGCCACACTATGACAACACTTCAAATGCCAAACATTAATTGAATTTATAAATGTAGGAATTTAAAGTGTGCACTTTAAGTTAATCATTTGTTAGCACAACTTTTCTGTTTAAATTAAATGTCATTTTCTCAATATGGACTGTTCACTCATTCACAAATCAAATGAGACTTCTTGAAGAGCCTGGAATAAAGAGTCTCTTGGGTAGTTGAAGGTTTAAAAAAAAGCACAAACTGGAAAACGTCTCTGTTCAAAACTTTTATTAGAACTGTTTAAGTAAGGTAGCGTGGAGGAGGAAAAGGAGGCAGCAATGATATGGGCAAGTGAACATGGGGATGAAAAGGAGGATGGGGTGCCGGAGTAAGAGGGGGATCTGGTTTCACAGTGTTAGCTGGAGTGGTTGGATATTGGGGATGGGAGGGATCGTAGGGTAAAGATGATAGTAAGGCATAGATGGGGGAAGCTGCGATAAGGTTTTTTTTAGCCTTTAGTTGTAGTAGTTTTTGGCTTCGTAGCTGGATAAAGAGGATTAAAGGGAGGATACATCGGCATATATTGTGGAAACGGCATCTGAGCGTATTGAGGCATCTGAGGCAGGACAGGAATTTTAGTCGCCTTTGCAGTTGTAGGCCGTGTGGTCGTTGCTGTTGTTGTCTCCAGCATCTTAGGGTATTGACGCATCAGATGGTATTGAGGCATCTGAGCGTATTGAGGCATCTGAGCGTATTGAGGCATCTGAGCGTATTGAGGCATCTGAGCGTATTGAGGCATCTGAGCGTATTGACGCATCAGAGGGTTTTGACGCATCAGAGGGTATTGACGCATCAGAGGGTACTGAGGCATCTGAGCGTATTGAGGCATCTGAGCGTATTGAGGCATCTGAGCGTATTGAGGCATCTGAGGGTATTGAGGCATCTGAGGGTATTGACGCATCAGAGGGTTTTGAGGCATCAGAGGGTTTTGAGGCATCAGAGGGTTTTGGGGGTTTTGAGGCATCAGAGGGTTTGGGGGGTTTTGAGGCATCAGAGGGTTTGGGGGGGTTTTGACGCATCTGGGGGATTTGAGGCATCTGGGGGTTTTGAGGCATCTGGGGGTTTTGAGGCATCTGGGGGTTTTGAGGCATCTGGGGGTTTTGAGGCATCTGGGGGTTTTGAGGCATCTGGGGGTTTTGAGGCATCTGGGGGTTTTGAGGCATCTGGGGGGTTTTGAGGCATCAGAGCGTATTGAGGCATCAGAGCGTATTGAGGCATCAGAGGCAGTGCAGGAATTTTAGGAATTTGAGTCGCCTTTGCAGTTGGGGGCCGTGTGGTCGTTGCCTCAGGCATCTTAGGGTTTTGAGGCATCGGAGGGTATTGAGGCATCGGAAGGTATTGAGGCATCTCATGGTATTGAGGCATCTGAGGGTTTTCAGGCATCTGAGGGGTTTGAGGCATCAGAGGGGTTTGAGGCATCAGAGGGGTTTGAGGCATCAGAGGGGTTTGAGGCATCAGAGGGGTTTGAGGCATCAGAGGGGTTTGAGGCATCAGAGGGGTTTGAGGCATCAGAGGGGTTTGAGGCATCAGAGGGGTTTGAGGCATCAGAGGGGTTTGAGGCATCAGAGGGGTTTGAGGCATCAGAGGGGTTTGAGGCATCAGAGGGGTTTTGAGGCATCAGAGGGGTTTGAGGCATCTGGGGGTTTTGAGGCATCTGAGGGTTTTGAGGCATCTGAGGGTTTTGAGGCATCTGGGGGTTTTGAGGCATCTGGGGGTTTTGAGGCATCTGGGGGTTTTGAGGCATTTGAGCGTATTGAGGCATCTGAGCGTATTGAGGCATCAGAGGGTTCTGAGGGTTTTGAGGCATCTGAGGGTTTTGAGGCATCTGAGGGTTTGAGGCATCTGAGGGTTTTGAGGCATCTGAGGGTTTTGAGGCATCTGGGGGTTTTGAGGCATCAGAGGGTTCTGAGGGTTTTGAGGCATCTGAGGGTTTTGAGGCATCTGGGGGTTTTGAGGCATCTGGGGGTTTTGAGGCATCTGGGGGTTTTGAGGCATCTGGGGGTTTTGAGGCATCTGGGGGTTTTGAGGCATCTGGGGGTTTTGAGGCATCTGGGGGTTTTGAGGCATCTGGGGGTTTTGAGGCATCTGGGGGTTTTGAGGCATCTGGGGGTTTTGAGGCATCTGGGGGTTTTGAGGCATCTGGGGGTTTTGAGGCATCTGGGGGTTTTGAGGCATCTGGGGGTTTTGAGGCATTTGAGGGTTTTGAGGCATCAGAGCGTATTGAGGCATCAGAGGCAGTGCAGGAATTTTAGGAATTTGAGTCGCCTTTGCAGTTGTAGGCTGTGTGGTCGTTGCCTCAGGCATCTTAGGGTTTTGAGGCATCTGAGGGTTTTGAGGCATCTGGGGGTTTTGAGGCATCTGGGGGTTTTGAGGCATCTGGGGGTTTTGAGGCATCTGGGGGTTTTGAGGCATCTGGGGGTTTTGAGGCATCTGGGGGTTTTGAGGCATCTGGGGGTTTTGAGGCATCAGAGGGTTTTGAGGCATCAGAGGGTTTTGAGGCATCAGAGGGTTCTGAGGGTTTTGAGGCATCTGAGGGTTTTGAGGCATCTGAGGGTTTTGAGGCATCTCAGGGTTTTGAGGCATCTCAGGGTTTTGAGGCATCTCAGGGTTTTGAGGCATCTGGGGGTTTGAGGCATCTGGGGGTTTTGAGGCATCTGGGGGTTTTGAGGCATCTGGGGGTTTGAGGCATCTGGGGGTTTTGAGGCATCTGGGGGTTTGAGGCATCTGGGGGTTTTGAGGCATCTGGGGGTTTTGAGGCATCTGGGGGTTTTGAGGCATCTGGGGGTTTTGAGGCATCTGGGGGTTTTGAGGCATCTGGGGGTTTTGAGGCATCTGGGGGTTTTGAGGCATCTGGGGGTTTTGAGGCATCTGAGGGTTTTGAGGCATCTGAGGGTTTTGAGGCATCTGAGGGTTTTGAGGCATCTGAGCTACAGTGGAATTTAGGGAAGTCGTTTTGGAAGCAGGAGGTGAGGCAGGAGATGAGGCAGGAGGTGAGGCAGGAGGTGAGGCAGGAGGTGAGGCAGGAGGTGAGGCAGGTTTGGAACACCAGAGAGAGACTGGAATTCCTTGCCAACGCATCGGGAGTACATAACTTCCACCCTTTGGGAGAAAAACACACAATTAGAAACAGCAAGGAATCACACAAACCTGTCAATGTTACAATCTGACTGCACAAGGCAAACGATTAATCTCATGCTATATTTTCTAAATAGATCATCATGATGAAACATATTTAAATGTCGGTCCCCATCCAAAAAACATATTTAATCAGTACATTTGAAAGCAAGCGAAAAACAACTCGCATTTGAAAAGCTGAAAACACATTTTCGCTTGAGATCAATATGACGCAGATTAAAAATTTCATTTTTTTAGCTCTCGTTACACCATTCATAACTATAACAATTCACAGCACTAGCCATCATATTTTTAAACTCACTTCCTCACTCTTTAAATCAGTTTCACATTACCTCTTGAACCATGTTGCAGCCATCATAGGGAACCAACATGACAAGTGCATATGAGTTCCTCTGCATGCTGTAGCCACAGGTAGACGGGACCTGGGACAGAGGCATTGGAGGTGCATTTCCTGTGGGGGTAAAAAGGTTCAGTGTTTATATCATTGGTAGAGATTAATCAAGTCTACATTTGGGATATTATGGCTATTAATTTACCTTGTTCTACCGCAAATTGTGAAATTCCTGATCCCACCACTCTGAACTTCAACTGGCCCGAACCACACTGCAGTGAGGGCGACATGCTCATCCATGACGAGTCTTTGGGACTGGCGACTTGTGTTGGGCTCATCCAGCCTGAAGGCAAATATAATATATATATTTTTTTTCTTTCAATAGTTTGTACTTTAAAGAGAAGCAAAACAATTCAAGCAAAATAACAAACCCTTCAATACGTAATCAAAAATATTTTTACCTGCAGAGTCTGCTTGATAATCACCTTCATCCTCCACATAAGCGTTTGAGGATGACTTCTTGGTCCCGTCTGTGACTTGAGAATCAAGTCCTGACCCTTTTTCAAAAGCTCTCCCGAAAACAATTGTCCCCTCTTGGAAGCCATTTGTTGTTTCGGCATCTTTTCTCCCTTCTCGTCTTTCTCTTTTCTTCAGACGATAACAATCTATAGTTTGCGCAAAATAACACGTCAGAATAACAGCTGCAGCCAGGTAAACACCGGCGCCTTTTCTCTTGCGTGTCATCCTGTTGCACATGACTGCTGGTAATGTGAAGAGATGAGATAACTTTCTTTGCCGCAACTATTTGAGCATCAGCAGGTGCTGTGACAACCAATACAGCTGTGATACTGTAGGTGCTCATAGGATTCCCATTCTTTAAAATCAAACTCACTGCGGGTGGAGAGCACTTGGCAATGAAGCATGAGACAGGGATTTTAATACTGGCACATATTACCACCAGGCAGCCAATCAACAAGGCAGGTGCAGCCTCAGCTAATGCTTGCACCTGTGTTCAATTAGCTTGCAACAGGTGGGCCTCGTTAAGACTTGTATAATGTCTACACAGTAAGCCCTGTATATTGATCATGTAGATCAGGGGTGCCCAATACGTCGATCGCAAAGGTAGTGTGGGTAGATCGCATGGCATTGAAGAGCAAATGCGGCGCACCTTTATGCGCTTAAGAGGCGCTATTGGTGTAAGCGCTCCACAGTTTCTCCGCCGCTGTGAGGTTCCGGCGCTCGCAGTTCACTAGCACCGTTGGTTTCAAAGGCATGCTATTATTACAAATCCAATCCAATCCACTTTATTTGTATAGCACATAATAAAAACAGAGGGTTTACCAAAGTGCTTCACACCAAACATAACATAATAAAATATAATATTACAATAATAGATAAAAGGCACACATAAGAAAATATAAAAGGATAAAAGGCACACATAAGAATTAATACACGGTACATAAAGGCTATGGACATACAATAAAAGCATAACAATCCATAAAACATAGCTCAGACTGACTCGAAAGCGAGGGAAAAGAGGTGGGTCTTTGGACGAGACTTAAAAGTTTGGAGGGTGGGCGACAATTTGACATGCGGGGGCAGGTCGTTCCAGAGCCTGAGGGCTACCGCTGAGAAGGCTCGATCTCCCCTGTTCTTTTTCTTGGTTTTAGGGACTACCAGCAGCAGCTGAAGCTAAATGAAGTCACAAGAATGATAGAGACATAACAATACAGTATTTATTTGGGCATGGCTACTATAATTGTTGATGGCCAAATATTTCATAGAAGTAACACAACTCTGCTCACATTTCAGGGTTTTTCTTTGACTTAAGAGGGAAAATATCCCTCAATATAAAATTGTTTTTACGATAAGCTTCTTAACAATTACTATCATGTTTACATAACAGTAGACTAGATACAACTCATATGATGTAATTAGGACACTTATAAAATAGAAAAACGTATTTACTATATTGCTCCAATACTTTAAATGTTAAAGGGTTGTGAGGATAAACAAGAACAGCAGTACATCCAAAGACAATGGAAAGAAAACGTGGAAATATACCAAGAATGTCTACACATCCTCAATTGCTAACCTATTATATTTAAAAGATGTTCTCACCTCGAGTATTCTTAATATAAGACATTCCCCATTGTTATTTTCCCCGACTTGACAGGAAAGGGGAAAAAACGAGAAATTAATTATTTCCCAAGAATCTTTATTCACGAAGCGCTATACAAGTTGTATTCAAAAGTATACAAACAACTTTGCACAAGCTTGAGAATGCAAAGTCCATTAAGTCCTTTCAGAGTTCAAATAAAAACATATCCCGATTCTTGGTTCTTCATCATTTTGTGTAATGTATCATACGGTTTGATTTAGATAAACCAATGAATGCAAGGGAAGAGTCTGACTATTTTGATTTGTTAATCTACTTTGACCCACAATAATTAGATGTATAACAATGCTTTCCCTTATTTAGAAGACAAAATATGTATCTTCACATCAAGGAAAGTCAATCAGACGGTAACGGGATGGTGAACATGCATCAGTGTCCCAGCCTGACTTGGACCAGAGATGTCGTTTTATGGTTAGTTCCATAATTTGAAAGAAACAATACACAGGTGTTAAGGACACTCTGTAGGATAAAAGGTTTTGCTTCTATCATTGTTGACATTTCACTTGAATAATTAAGGATCTCACCTGTTAAGTCATTTTTAGTTGTATGAAGGCTACTTTTACAATATGACATCTACATGTGTAGTTTGAACACTTATGACCTAGTGTTAGACCACATATTTAGTAATGCTTACTCCAGTTTACAAAACCAAAAAGAGACAAATGCTGAAGGTTCATTGTTTTGATTTGCAGAACTGCCCAAAGTTGTAAATGCTCCTTTTCAGAGTTGGTGTATGTACAGATGGAGCGTCTTATTTTGGACAGTTTAAAACGCGAGGGTCGTGATTGGTTCGTGCACGTTCCGTGATGGCCGGCCGGCCCCCAGTCTGACTTGATACCGCCCCCGTGATAAATAAATTTAATTATTGTGAAGCCAGCTGCAATGGATCATTGATCCACCAGGGGGTGCAGTGGGGTTCCACACTGGAGTCATGTGTGGAGTCTTCGACAAACTGGATGTACAGTATGTCTGCTACTAATGTATAGCGGATCTTTGTTAAGATCCATATGTCACGGATAGGATCATAGTCTGTGCTAAATAAGACATGTAATCATTTACAAAACATCACCATGTTGTTATTTAACAAAATAATGTTGTTTAGTCGAAAAAAACGAACGAGCCGGCTCTCCCGATTTGTAATCCTAATTTAATCATCATCATTGATGTTTATGTTCGCCGAATTGACATGAAATCACTGACAAATATGAATATTCTGTATTCAACTTCATTGAAACGATCAGGATGGGTGTTATTTTTCCCCACAATGACCAAGTCGCTGCAAATTATTCCGTTTATTACATGGCCACATTCTCAACAAAGTAACGTAACGAAACATTCTGTATTCCTTGCTTACTTCCTTAAACCTTTTCTCCTCCTTATCTCTTTCATGACTTTTTATTTAATGCTTTTGAATGTTTTGAAATTATGAATGTACAGTAAGGCATAGTAATCATAGATAACACGGCAGGGTTCGTTACAGTTTGTTTTCATCTGATTTCAAATATTTCAAATGTCTGAAGTTAATAAATACATTCTCAGTGTTCAAGTCAATAATAGTCATATAAGAAAAGTACTGATCTAATAACAGAGATTTTATAAGGACTTTTCAATGTTCGACATCGCTCATGTGAAATACAGTAAACTGGATGTTGTGGTGCCGAGAGACGGGAGTCGGAGGCGGGGTATCAAAAGTACAAGCTAAACTTTTATTTAGCATCTGAACACACTTGTAAACAACTTCATGCCCGGGAAGCGAAGACCCGGCGGAAACAGCTGGTCTGGTTCACTAAAATGTCCGTGCGGATCAATACCCCAACCCATAGATCCGTGGGTGAATAATGTCAATCATCACAATGTACAGTATGTCTGGTGCTAATGTATAGCGGATCTTTGTTAAGATCCATATGTCACGGATAGGATCATAGTCTGGATCATAGTCTGTGCTAAATAAGACATGTAATCATTTACAAAACATCACCATGTTGTTATGCGCATGTGCGAGATGTTATGCATGTGCGCATGTTATGCGCAAGTGCGAGATGGTCCGCCATATTGCACAACTCCGTACGGCAACCCAACTAGGACACTTGACGTCTAGACCGTCTTGACGGCTGGCCAATATGCGAATATGCATTGCGCATGCGCGAGTCTTATGATCTTATTAGGTGAGTTAGGTGAGTTAATTATTAGTTGTTAGTTAATTAGGTGAGTCTTATTAGGATATTAATGCCATACATGTTTGCATACATATGTATTCAGTATGATAGCTGTCTAACAGAAGTTAAATCCATTTCTCACTTATTCTGACAATGTACTTAACCCCAAATAAAAGAACCCAATTAAAATAGTTGTTAAATAATGGGTGAAGTCACGTTGTAATAACAATAACTCATCTCTCTCGGTTTTTTTTGTTTTCTTTGTGTGCTTTGCCAAAAGCCACTGTGTCAAATGTCCTAGTTGGGTTGCCGTACGGAGTTGTGCAATATGGCGGACCATCTCGCACATGCGCAGTACCGATCGGGCAGGCGAACGGATCGGGTAGTGACAGCTGTAATAGTTTGTTTAGAAATCCTAGAAACACTTTATGAACAGGGTTGGGAGGGTTACTTTGTAAATGTAATCAGTTACTGATTACTGAATACATGGCTCTGAAAGCATCCGAATACAGTTACAGTTACGTGTTTAAAAAAAGTAACGTAATCAGATTACTTTTAGATTACTTTTGGATTACTTTCTTTATCCATCACAGATGAGAATATAATAAAACAAATACAAAGAGGAAACAATTTGATATGTCTACCATTTATTTTAGGAGTATTAATATTTTTTCAGATAGGATCATACTGTTAACTTAACATCTTGTCACAAGCTTTTTGGAAGAAAAGACTGACCCAAGAGGAGGAAAACACACACTTCAAGTCAGATCATCACCCTTAGCTATTTCAATTACCTCTCAAACAACCTAAACTAGTTATAAATGTTTATTTTAAATAAAGTCTTTATGACGCAGAATATGAATAATATGGGTCCGTTACAGTTTGTTTTCATCTGATTTCAAATAAACAAAGTCTTGGCTTTCAGAATATTTTTCCCCAAGAGCAATAAATCACCTTCTGTTAGAAGGTGCGACGGGGGAGGGGGGAGAGAGTTAGACGCTCGTGAATTGTAAACGGGGGGGGGGCCTCTCTGCACGGAGGAGCCGCAGAGAAGAGACACACGTTCACTAAGCCGAATCACAGTGATCTGCTATTTTAAAGTAAATTCAACACATATCGACCCTAAATATAGCATATATTAAGAACGAGAAAGTGTTAACATCGTTTTTTGTAAACATATGACAAATGTGCGAGGGTGATGACATCAGAGCATCGTCCTATGGGCTTAGCCCCGGACAGGTACAACAGGTATTCACTCAGATGGGGGTAGTTACCCATTTACATGTCAAAAAGCAACATACAGTAGGCGGGTGGGGGATGGTGAACGTTTACATTTATCTACAGAATACATTTCATTTAAGGGGAGCAGTTACTGAGAAGTATATAATGAGAACTGCTACCAATGGTGGCCTATTTAGTTTATTAAGAAATACATATTTTTAGCTTTTTTTTATCTGCAGTAGGAAATGGAGCGGACCTGCAGAGAGTAGCGACAGGGCTGGTCCAACCTGATCTGTAAAGTGATCTAAGTGCTATTCATATTCTTGACGGGAAGTGCAGTGTAAATGGGGGGCTTATATGCATTTGAAAA